ACATGACTAACCTCCTCTTTTGCAAACATTTTTTTCCTACTTTCTAATTATAAGATAATATACAGAAAAAAAGAAAAGTATAATTTTTAAAAAATTATGGTAATCTAAGTGTAGAGAGTTAACATGTGTCATTCCATTTTTTTTCTTTGCAGATTTAAAATAAGCAATCTATTGTTTTCTCACATTTGGAATCATCCACCTATTGTTACCCATCCAGTCCCACCCTCATTTAAACAGGTAAATATTTCACAATGCAGTTTTCCACACTTACACACGTCTCACTTAAAATCAATGCCTATTGTCAAGCATTTGCATTGTACTAATCACTGAGTATCTAGACAATATATTATGTTGAGCATTTTCAACCATAAATCTTTTTTAATTTTTTAAAAGTATTTTTTAAGATTTTATTTATTTATTTGTCAGAAAGAGAGACAAAGAGAGAGAGCACAAGAATGGGGAGCAACAGGCTCCCCGCTGAGCAAGGAGCCCAATGCAAGGCGAGACTTGATCCTAGGACCATGGGATCATGACCTGAGCCAAAGGCGGATGTTTAACCAACTGAGCCATCTAGGCATCCCCATAAATCCTTTTTTAAAGATATATTTATTTATTTTAGAGAGAGAGAGAGGGAACAGGGGGAGGGACAGAGGGAAAGGGAGAGAGAATCTGAAGCAGACCTCAAGTTGAATAAGGAGCCTGACACAGGGCTCAATCTCACAACCCTGAGATCATGACCTGAGCAGAATCCAAGAGTCAGACGCTTAACAGACTGAGCCACCCTAGGTGCTCCACAACCATAAATGTTTTATTTTTTAGATTAACATAGGAAAGGTGGAATTTATGGGTGTAAGAGTTAAGTAGATATTCTAAGTATAAGTAAATAAATACACACATGTATGCAGGTATACCTATATATACACACACATATATATGGAGAGAGAGGGAGAGGGAGAACTGGTTTTATAATTAAACATGTTTAAATCATGTTTAATTCAATAGAGGATGAGTGTCAATTTCCTCAAAACTTGTAACGCACCACAGTGTAAGTTGGGAGATAATGGGCAGGAATCAGCCCTCTATTGTCTATAAAAATTTGAGTAACAGAGGAATGTTCATAGGTTTTGTGCTAAGACAGATGGGGAGTTGAATCCTAACCCCAATATTCGACAGTGTCATAACACCGGGACAATCCTATGACCTCTATAGATTTAGTTCACTCATTAATTCTTGGTACCTCCACGGTGAAGATGAAATAAGATGACATCTATAAACACCTTCATAGCACCTGGCACTCAGTAGGTGCCCAATGTAGTACATTTGTCTGATCTCCAATCTTGTTTCCCAACCTTACAAAGCAAGCCCCAGGGACCAGAAGAATTCTCTTATCTCTTATTTTATACTGGGTATTAAGACCCAGCCCTGGAATTGGACTCTTAGAAGAAAAACCTTTTGGTCCAGGAGTCGGGGGGATTTGCAAGCTTATCCAAGCAGATCCGTCAACTCCAGGTGGATTGGTGGCAGAGCCAGGAGTAGATGTAGGAACTCAAAACAGCCTTTTCAAATGAACTACCTCTACTCTCTGAAAGAACAGAAAATGTGGGGAATTTGTTCTGGTTTAATGGAGTGAGGGGGTGAATCCTGAGTCAGGGGCCTTTTCTGTTCTGTGAGGTCAGAGTCAATTACTCGACCTTGTCCTTCAACCAAAGTTATTTCTTCCTGTTGACAGCCTCCACCACCTACTCCCTTGGGGGACACCCCTCAGCCTTTCCTTCTCCCCTGCCTCCTTGTTTATCCTAGTGACTGTGGACAGATCTCCACAAACTGTCTCCTCTTTCAATGTTTTCTGGGTGGGATAGTTTTACCCAAAGAGACGTAATCTTCACCCTTTAACCTGAAGTCAATTGTACAGACCTCCCTCTCAAAAAAGGATTCCTAAGGGATGCTTAAATTTCCATCATCAGCCATTTTTTCTTTGGAGATTGGATCTCTTTACAAATGCAAATACTGTATGGTCTCATGTCTATGTGGCCAGAAAACAAAAACAGCCCAAACTCATTCATACAAAGAATAGTTTGGTGGTTGCCAGTGGTGGCAGGTAGGGTGTGAAGAAAATGGTGACGAGGGTCCAAAGGTACAAACTTCCAGTTATAATATAAATAAGTCCTGGGGATGTACTGTACAGCATGGTGACTGTAGTGAAAAATAGTGTATTGTATATTGAAGAGTTGCTAAGAGAGTAGGTCTTAAGACTCTCATCACTGGTATGCCTGGGTAGCTCAGTTGGTTAAGCATCTGACTTCAGCTCAAGTCATGATCTCAGGGTCCTGGGATCAATCCCCAGGTCAGGCTCCCTGCTGGAGTCTGCTTGTCCCTCTGCCCCTCCCTACTCCTTCTACTGAGGCTCTCTCTCTGGCTCTCTCTCAAATGAAAAAATAAAATCTTTTAAAAAAAAAGCTCTTTCACAAGTAAAAAAAAAAATGTGTAATCCTGTGGTGATGAATGCTAGCTAAATTTATTGTGATGATGATTTCACTATATAAACACCGAATCATTATGCTGTATATCTGAAACTAATATGTTATATGTCAATTATGTCTCAATTAAAATGTGCAAATACCTGTGGAGTAAGCAATCACTAGGATTTATGGAGAGCTCAGGAATGGGGACTATGAGAGTAGACACCAACAGCACAACCTTACAGTTTTAGAAGAACACATAGGCACATTATGGGTCAAAAATACATGAGCAGGTATTACATGTGCGTATATGTATACATACATCATATATATGTATAATATGATGTATATATACATAGTAATGTGTATGTATGTATACACAAATCCATATCCATACATATACATGTATATATACATACGCATATGTAGGTATATGTAATATATATATGTCTGTTTATATGTATATGTGTATAAGTGTGTGTGTGTATGTGTTGTGTATGTGTTATGTGTATATATGTGTGTGTATACATGTATGTGTATATACATGTGTTGTAATATCTGTATGTATTTGTGCATGTGTGTATAAAATATACACATAGTGAGAGTGAGAGCAGGAGCTTGCTGTTTTCATAAATTTTACAAGCTTTATTGCACACCCATCTGAATGATCCAGAACCAAGTGTGGCAGAAATCCTGGGAGGAACCTCCTTGACATTCTTAGTGACTGTGCTCCTCAAACAGCCCACTAAGGAACCCCAACATCTGAGCCAGACTTAGGGCAGGGCTGTGAGTGCCCTGCCCAGAACATCATTTTCCAGCCATAGAAAGCGAGCACTTGGGAATCCACAATTCAATCATTTTAGGTGCGGCACCATTTGCAGCCCCCAACAAAGTTCCCTTCCTCTTGCTCCCACACCTTTGTACCCAGGTCCCCAAATTCTACTTTTTGTCTCTATACAGTCTACTCTCCCCATCCAAGTCTCCAGAATCCTGACATGCATTTCCCACTGCTCAGTGCATCCGATGTATCCTGGGAAAAAAATCACCGTACATGGACGTCTCCAGTCAGTGTATGAAATATTCCTGGACATAGAGTTTGGAAGAAGGAGGTCTGTTCCTTGGGAACCCTGGCCCTTGACCACTTGACTCTTCTTTTTTTTCTAATAAGCTACAAAACATGGGTATGGTAGCTCCTCTCTGATATTTGGTGGGCAAATCCCTCCAGCCCTCAACTCACAAACTTGTGCCAAGATGTTGTTGTTAGATTTGATATCACTTCACTTCTGTCATTTGCTAGGTGGTCATCTGTCTTTCCTGAAGTCCTTCCTATTCAGTCTCTTTGTAGCCACATAAAACCCCCAGGGCATTTGGTGGGAGATGGCGTTATGCTTTAATTAGCAAAAGAGAATCAATACAGAGAAGGTATTGGGTGGGACCTTATTAGCACAAAGGAAGTCCAAGGCAAATAGATACACAAAATGCCCTTCACTCCCCACCTATGGGTAGACTCAGATGCATCAATAAAGACACAAGACTTGGGTCTGTTTGGGTGGACAGGACTGTGATAAGGTACACAGTGTTCCTCCTAGCTTAGGAGGACGTACTGCTCATATCAAAGAAAATCCAATACTTGGGAATGGGAGAGTATCAAAGGAAAGAGTCTGTGATATGGCCAACATGTAGTTCCTGGGCAGAACTTACAGATCTGCCACAACCCAAATCACCATTAAGTCCTAGGCCTTTGGACGTTGTTTTTCTGCTCCTCTGGCCCTGTTCCCAGGCCACAACCTCCTCTCCCCCTCCCCAAGTAAGAAGAGGCTACATAAAAGAGCTGTCAGCCAGTTACTGCAGACACTCAACACCTTGAGAGGTAAGTGTGGGTAAGGGTCTGGAGGCAGGAGCTTTAATTTGTGGCTTGCTTGGATGAGTTCTCTGCCCAGGTGGTGTCAACACTATTCCTGTGAGATGGAGATTATTGTCTCTGGTGTTCCAAAAAGAAAATTGAGAAAGAGGTGACACACCTGTCTGAGGTTCCACAGGTAAAAGGGGCAAACACGAAACAAGGTACCAGTATTCCTGACTCTAAGTCCAAAACTTTCTCCTCTTTAACATTATCTGGAAAGCCCCAGGATCCTGAATTCTGAGGGGAGCAGTCTTTCTGTGTCTTTGTGATGCCTAGGGGCCTTGTCATTGTCCTATACTCTATCTCAAGATGACCAAAGAATTCACCCAGAATTCTGTATGTGAGTAGTACCCAGCCTGGGTATGATTATATTTCTCTTCTCTGGCTCAGTTAGTGCACCTGAAGTGTGCAAAGAAGGGCATTGGGCATGCGCAGGAATTATATTTCTCTTCTCTGGCTCAGTTAGTGCACCTGAGGTGTGCAAAGAAGGGCACTGGGCATGCGCAGGATCCTAAGTACCCTTTAAGGGAGGAACTCAGAAAACTGGACTAAGAGTAAGGCCTTTTTTCATTGAACATGTCTCAAAGTTCTGGAAAACTTAGAGCTAGAATGATATTTTTAGATATAAATAAATAGCTTCATGGCACCAGCCTTCCTCCTTCTTTGTGCAAAGGCCATGTCCAGGAATCCAGCCCACCCCAGTGCATGTTCACCTTCACCCAGCTACCTCCTACCTCGTATCGCCACCTGTAAGTGGATGACAGAGCATCTGCATTGCTCATCTACTTTGCTATGCACTGCTGCCTTCAGAGGATCACAAGAATACTCTGAGCCAGGCTCAAGAACTGGGTATCCTGCCACCTCAAACTGGCTTTCTGGGGCAAACTATGTGAGTGATTTATAGGATTTCTGGCAACCTACCATGCTCAGTGATAGTTCGCCTTTGGCCTGGAGCTTCACCAATGAGGTTTTATCCTTTGGTAAATATTGCCCAATGGGAAATGAAGTCTCAATACCTTCACTTGACAGTTTTCCTTCATCAAGCCATGCTGAGGCCAGCTGGCAGGGACACAGGTTCTGAATGGAGAAAGTTGGAGAACAGATGTAAGCATCTAAGATGGAAGCCCCCCAATGTCTGATCTTTTACATTTTAAAGACTTCTCTCCTCCTTTGCTTTCTCTCCATAATCTCCTTCTCTTGTTCTTCTCCCCAGGTCTCCTAAATCCAACCTGCTCAAAGTCAATGTGTTAAAAATTCACATGTCTAAAACTTGCATTTTTCTAGCTTCTAAATTTCAGTTCTTCTGAAAAGAGATTGTGTTTTCAAAGTCCCCTTTGAAGAATTTTGCTCCTTTTAAATGATCTCTAGTGGGACACTTGCTTTTGAGCAGAGGAATTTGGGTTGATTCTTCTAGAACATAGTTGTTCGCTAGAACTTTCAGGGATGATGGAAAAAGCTGTCTGTCTGAGCTGTCTAATATAATAGCCACTACTGGGGCGCCTGGGTAGCTTAGTCAGTTAAATGTCTGCCTTCAGCTCAGGTCATGATCTCAGGGTCCTGGAGTTGAGCCCCAAGTGGGGCTCCTTGCTCAGTGGGGAGTCTGCTTCTCCCTCTCCCTCTGCCTGCTGCTCTGCCTGCTTGTGCTCTCTCTCTCTCTGTCAATAAATAAATAAAATCCTAATTAAAAAAAATAGCCACTAGCCACATGTGGCTATTGAATGCTTGAGATGACTGGAAGCTGAATTTTAAATTTAATTAAAATCATCACATGTGGGTAGTGGCTACCATATTGGACAGTGCAGAGGAAGCACTTCTGCTTGGTGGATAACTTTTGAAGAAATATCAAGACTTCCAGGGAGAAGGACAATCACTGCCTTGTGACCATGTAATTCATAACACTGGAATTTTACTCTTTTTTTGGGCTTTTTTATTTTTCTTCCTCTTTGCTTTCAGGATGGTGAAGAAGGAGATCAAGGCTAAAGGGGACAGATGGGAGAGCTCTGGGAATTTTGAGTGGTAAATAAAGCTCTTCTTTCTTTGCCCCATCTTCCCCATCCCTCAGCTGCCAGTTGTCAGCAGGCTATTTCCTCTTCTGCTTCATTGTTTTCTCCTTAACAATGACTACCATCTTTGTCCTTCCTTATTATATTGTTTAGTTAGAATGTCAGCTCTATGAATGTAAGGATTTTTTATTTTATTTTATTTTATTTTATTTTGTTAATCACCATGCATTACATCCTTAGTTTTTGATGTAGTGTTCCATGATTCATGGTTTGCATATAACACCCAGTGCTCCATGCAATACATGCCCTCCTTAATACCCATCACTGGGCTAACCCATCCCGCACCCCCCTCCCCTCTAAAACACTCAGTTTGATTCCTGGAGTCCATAGTCTCTCATGGTTCGTCCTCCCCTCCGATTTCCCCCCTTCACTTTTCCCTTCCCTACTATCTTTTTTTTTTTTTAACATATAATGTATTATTTGTTTCAGAGGTACAGGTCTGTGATTCATCAGTCTTACACAATTCACAGCGCTCACCATAATACATACTCTCCCCAGTGTCCATCACCCAGCCACCCCATCCTTACCAGCCCCCACCACTCCAGCAACCCTCAGTTTGTTTCCTGAGATTAAGAGTCTCTTATGGTTGGGGTGCCTGGGTGGCTCAGTCGTTAAGCATCTGCCTTTGGCTCAGGTCATGATCCCAGGGTCCTGGGATCGAGCCCCGCATCGGGCTCCCTGCTCAGCGGGAAGCATGCTTCTCCCTCTCCCACTCCCCCTGCTTGTGTTCCCTCTCTCGCTGTCTCTCTGTCAAATAAATAAATAAAATCTTTAAAAAAAAAAAGAGTCTCTTATGGTTTGTCTCCTTCTCTGGTATCATCTTGTTTCATTTTTTCCTCCCTTCCCCTATGCTCCTCTGTCTTGTTTCTTAAATTCCTCATATCAGTGAGATCATATGATACTTGTCTTTCTCTGACTGACTTATTTCGCTTAGCATAATACCCTCTAGTTCCACCCGAATGTAAGGATTTTTGTCTGTTTTGTTCACCACTCTATTCCAGTACCTAGAACTTGTAATTAGACACTTAATAGATATTTATTTATTTATTTTGAGATAGAGATAGAGATAGATAGATAGATGATAGATAGATAGAACTCACACATGAGCAGGAGGGTGGAGTAGGGGCAGAGGGAGAGAGAGAGAATCTCAAGTAGGCTCCATGCCCAGCACAGAGCTCGACCTGGGGCCGGATCTCACTTTCCAGAGATCATGACCTGACGCAAAATCAAGAGCCAGATGCTTAACTGACTGTACCACCCAGGCACCCCTTAACAGGTACCTATTAAATGAATGAACTCCACCTCTACTCACACAAGTTAAATTCTAGGCATTTTAAAATGTAAAGTGTAAAAGAAAAAAACTAAAAAAAATAAATGAAAATAGTTTTCAAACATCTAGATGAGAGGAAATTCTGAGCTTAATACTAAAAGCTACCATTTATTGAGTGTATACTATGTTCTGGGTCCTATGCTGAGTGTTTCTTATACATTAGATTATTTGATCCTAGTAACCTAATGAGATGAGTATGGATATTATTTCTATGATACAGAAATACAGATGAGGAAGCTGAGGCTCCAGGAATTATGTGATCAGCCCAGTTTCCACAGCTAAAAGTTGGAGGGTGCAGGAGTTGGGATTCTAGTTCAGGCTGATTTGACCCTGATGCATATGTTCCTTCCTCACTAAAATACTGGATTTCTGCTAGTGTGGTAGCAGAAATTTCCTTTGTATTGCCTTGAGAAGAACAGGAGGTGTGGTAACACACATATGATATCCAGTTGGTGGAAGTATAACCCAACCCTTAGTAAGAAAATGTGGCAGACATTGTCCAAAGCCTGAAATAGACAACATCTTTTGCTCAGCCATCTTTCTCTATTAACTCATATATATAAAAATAATAGTGCATAAGCGAAAGCTGTAGCTATAAGGAGGTTCATCAGGACATTTTTATAACAAAAAGAAATTGGAACTATTTGAGTTTTCATGATATGGGAGGAATGATTGTGATATTGATAGTTGAATTGTTGACATGACTTGTATGATGTGATCCTATTAATTTGTCTCTCCTGCCTGTATACTTTACTCAGATGGGCTAGTTGTTTCCTTGCCTCTTCAGGAAAACTTAGGTAGTTCCCAAAATTTTGTGGAACTCTTCAGTCACAAAACATCTCAACTTAATAATTAAATGTGCAGGCCCATGTAATTAGCCACAACTCCACACATTGTTGAGAACTGTGGACTCTCCCCTCCCTCAGAAGTTCTAGTTGTGGAAAAGGATATGGTCAGTATCTCCATCTTGGGCTCTTTGTGATTCTGTTCCTTCACCCCTGTCTGCTATAAAAAGTTTCTGTCTCCTAGGTAGTACAGGCACAAAGAACCAATAAGTGGGAGTAGGACAGTTCTCACACAGTACATAAGCTGGCTTTGTGCTTCTGGCACTCATTTATGGGAGATTTCAAGGGTTCACTGCAGACATAAAATGGCATCTGGCCATTTACAATTCAGATGTGCCCCAACTGCAGCTCTCTTCTTTGGTACTATAGGCCACTTTAGAGCCTTCAGTCATGACTCAGGCCTACAGGATCCTTACAGATTTCTGGAGACACACAGTAAGCTCTATGAGTAGTACCCACAAAGCCTTTTATCTCAACTTGGAATTAGAAGACAGCTTCCCCACTTACTCAAACAGAGCTTTTTACCAATAAAATCTTTGAAACCTGTCTACCATTCCTTCAACTTTGGATCATCTATTTAGATGAAAGTTTTAAGAGTCCCCTGACCAGTTCGTGACCATCAACTTTCTCAAGTCCTACGTAGTAACCCATGTCACATAACTCACTCTGGAATCACTCTGGTACTCTGACTTAGGGTCTGGACTAACAATTCCATTATATTATCCTATTACATATGTTCTTAAGTAAACAAATCAGGACACTTGATGTGTTCTGTTATTCCAAGTTCGTAAATATAATGAGTACAACAAAAAGGGACATACATACACTGGTTATCCCTCGGGGGTGGAATTCCTAATGCGTATCCACTTCCTTTACGTGTTTCATTTTTGTTTTTGACAAACTATACAAGCTGAAGATTTATTGCTTTTTAATCAGAAAAAAGCAATGCATTTTTTAAAAAGCTTTTATTTATTTATTTGACAGAGAGAGCGAGAGAACACAAACAGGGGGAACAGTAGAGGGAGAGGGAGAAGCAGGATCCCCGCCAAGCAGGGAGCCTGATGTGGGGCTTGATCCCAGGACCCTAAGATCATGACCTGAGCTGAAGGCAGACGTTTAACTGACTGAGCCACCCAGGCGTCCCCAGCAATGAATTTTTTTTAAAGATTTTTTATTTATTTGTTTGATAGAGAGAGACACAGCGAGAGAGCGAACACAAGCAGGGGGAGTGGGAGAGGGACTCTCCCTCTCACAGAGAGAGCAGTAGAGCACAAGCATGGGGAACAGTAGAGGGAGAGGGAAAAGCAGGCTCCCTGCTGAGCAGGAGCCCAATGCGTGGCTCCATCCCAGGACTCTGGGGTCATGACCTGAGCCGAAGGCAGCCGCTTAACAACTGAGCCACCCAGGCTCCCCCAGCAATGAATTTTTTTTTTAAAGGTTTTATTTATTTGACAGAGAGAAAGACAGCCAGAGAGGGAACACAAGCAGGGGGAGTGGGAGAGGGAGAAGCAGGCTTCCCGCGGAGCAGGGAGCCTGATGCGGGGCTTGATACCAGGGCCCTGGGATCATGACCTGAGCCAAAGGCAGACACTTAATGACTGAGCCACCAAGACGCCCCTCCCAGCAACGAATTTTTAAAAGAAATATTTTTGCAAAGGAAATGGCATGTAATTTGAGATGGGGAAGTAGCCTGGGGAAGCCGATGGCTAGCTTGATATGTTGTTAGGTGCCAGAGGGTGAGAAGGAGAAGTAGGAGAAAGAATAACCCAATATCAGAAACACTTTCTCTCTCTTTCTGATCCTAGTCTCCTTAATTTCTGTTCTACCTCTAGTGGCATTGGGAGAAGACCTATCTTCTTTCAAAGCTTAACCCAAACACACAGAGAGATGACCATGAAGACCTGGGTTCTCCTACTCATCATGCTCATCTATGGGATTGTGATGCTTCTGCCTGTGCTGGGGAGCCTCAAGAACAAGATTTTTTGTAGGTGGTATGACACGGGAGGAGGGGGTCTGCCTAAGCCTGGGATGTCTGGTGTAAGTGATTCTGGGACCACCTTTCCCGATCACAACCCTCCTTAAAGCAGAGACATCCAAGAAAGATTTAGGTTGGATGTTCCCAATTTGGTGCCCTTCCAGCTCCCCTTCTGAGCTGAAAGTGATAATAGGTATACCGAAAGAGAAAATAGCTTAGTCTATAAGTCCATCCCATAAGCTAGCGGGAAATGATATTTTCCAATGTTAGGCTACCTTAGACAGGGGAAACACCAACACAGAGCTTTCCTCTGAGCCCATATTTTCAGATCTCTGTGCCTTTGATGAATTCCAATAGGGCAATATTATTTACTTGGAAGGGAAAAATCTTTTAGAATATGAAAAAGTGGAAAAGACAAAAAAGGGATCCTTAGGAGTCAAAGTTTGTGGTCAGATGATTAAATGGGGATAATGAAGGGAGGGTTATGGGCCAGTGAAAGAGATGGAATTTGGGGAGAGGCTGAGTGCTTAGCAGGTATGAGTACAGAAGCAAATAGACAAGGGAGAAAATAGGTACCCATTCTCCCCCAGCTCAGTTTTCCATTCTGTAAATTGGGTATGGAAAGTGGAGCTAGACAATATTGCCATCCCTGAAATCCCAAGTCCAGTGAGAATAGACTTGGTGAGGTGGTACCATAGATGGTGAGGTTGTCCTGGGTCCTATCTTTAGGGAGCTTGGGGAGGGCCCAAAGGCCTGCAGTTCTGTGGGGACATGTGAAAAGAGGGAAGGCATGTGATGTAAGAAGGGTCTCCTGTGAAAAGACATAGCTAAAATTCAAGGAAAGGAATTTCTTAAAATGTAGAGAAACATTTTGTTTATGACTTTGAGCTCAGGTTTCAGAGCTAGGGGAATGTTAAGCTTGAGAAGCATTTCTTCTCTAAGTCGTGGGTGGATGGATCTACCATCTACCATCATCTACCATCTACCATCTACCATCTCAGTTCCAGCTGGAAGAATAGTCACTGAGCAGTGCTGGGTACAGCCTCCATTAAAGTATTGTGAGAAGAGGTGCACTAAATTACAAGAGTGTTTATCTCCCAATCATACATGCTGTTGGACCTTCTGTGGAAACATCTGCTTGGACAATAGGTGAGTTGGCTGGAGTGGGAAGGAGGCACATGGATATGCTTCCTTATCACGGATCACCCTCATTCAGAAGCTGTGACATGGAATAAGATATACCCAAATCCTGGTCAAAGAAATAGGCAGGATAAGGCAATGTCCTCCTATCTCCATACCTAACTGCCATTCAAGGCAGAAAACCCAAGACACCAATGTGGGAGGGAGTGCTCCACGTTCCTTCCTTTGCTTTCATTCAGTTCCCCCAAAGACTCACCCGTCTGTTTGTTCATCCCTCTTTTGTCCAAGGCCATGACTATTGCCTCCTTGGTCTGGCGTCTCCATTGGCCCCTTGTCTCAGGCAGGGCCCAGAGAGATCCAGTGTCTACCTATCTGCCCAATTGGCAAATCTCTTGGGAGAAATTGCTTAAAATGGGTAACTCCTGATCTTACAGGAAGAATTTCTGTTCCCATTGACAGGGAGCGGGGTGGTATTAAGTTTGGGAATGGAGGTCCCCAGGATGCCCCGACTTTTAACCACTTGACTTGTCTCTTCCAGAGAACCCTTTAAATCCATGCTAAACCCCTAGGTTCTAGCTGGCACACCACTAGTGTGGGCTAGAGGATGACTATGTAGTCTAAGAAGTAAGAAGAGTGCTTCCTGGACCCCTGTTCGGTTATTCACTTGCCTGGCTGAGGACCCTTCATTATCCCCTTGATCTCTCTATCCTGAGAAAGCTCAGGTCTCTGCCAAATAAACTGATAACCAACCTGAGGGCTCTGCATTGTCTCATACTCCATTCCTGTGGTTCCCTTTTGTCTTTACAATGACCAACAGTTGTTCCTATCCAACTCTGCCTTCCCTGTTAGACCCATATATTAGTCAGTAGACCCACATTTGTAGCAAAAAATGCAGAGATTTATAAAAACCTCACTAAACAGCGTAAAAGTTTATTCTCATTCACAATACATTTCACTGTGGGTGGTTCGGTGAACGACCCCCATGCCATGCATGAGTCAAGGACCCTGAATCCTTCTATCTATAACTCATCCTCTCCCAGGGACTCCACCGCATCCAGCCAGTGGATGGGAGAAGAACGGGCAGCATGGAGGCTCCTACAGAAGGGTTTTAATGGCCAGGCCTAGAAGTGGGGCTCTGTTTCCATCCACATTCTATTTGCCCTAATGTAGTCAGAGGGTTGCCTTATTTGCAAAGGAGACTGGGAAATACAGTCTAGCTGTATGCCCAAGGACAACAGAAAGCAGGATTTGGTGAACTCATGGTGGTCTCTGAACTGTATACTTATGCAAAGCCAAACGCCTCAGCAAGACCCAAGACCCTGGCTTCCACATCACTGTCTAATGGAACAAGCACTGCCCCCGCCCAGCATGAGAGAAGGCATTCCTGCCCTCAAGGTGGGCACTCTGAGCTTCCAGAATGATTCCTCCTTCTGCAATCTCCGTATCCGCTCACTCCCACCTGTTTTGTCTGCCTGGTAGTTTTACCTGGGTAATATTATTCATATCCTGAGATGTCTGCTCATTCCAGGCAGGCTTTCCAGCCCATACTGTTTCCCTAGATTATATTGAATTTCTACCATTAGTATCTTGAAGATCATTTTAAACATATAACTTCCCTGGGATGAGGAGATAATAAAGTCCCTACAGTGTATTCATATCTGTGCCTTTTCCTGGTCCAGAGAATGAGATATTCTCTTTTAGATGGGATGAGTCAGCATATCACACTTATCAACTGTAGACCCCATGGAAAGGTTCCAGAATGGGATACAGCCAAGACCAAGGCCAGTCAAGGGACTAAGTCCTAACAGAACACTGGTCAGTGTCCCAGAGCTCAGAGTAAGGAAAAGGCACAAGGACTCAGGGGCTCAGGTAAACATCCTTCAGGAGTGGGGCTTTGTCTTGACCTTCAGGGATAAGGAGCACTTGGAGCTCGATTGAGTGAAAGTGGTTATTCCTTCCTGACCAAAGAAGTAAGAGAAGAACAAGAGGTTAGGGACCCCCAGTGGAAGGACCAGGGAAGGAAAGCGTTGTCCACTTGAGGATCCTGGATATTACGGGGAAAGAAAAGCTATTTTTCCTCTGTCCTTCCGGGTTCTTGGCGGAGACCCCTGCAATAAGAGACAGATTAGCAGGAGAAAAAGGAACAGAAGTTTACTAACATGTGTACCTCCACTTTACATGGGACAGACCAGGAAAACTGAGTCACTGCCCCAAATGGTCCAAGTCATCTTCTTCAATACCATCTTTAGCTAAAGACAAAAGATGTGGAAAGGAAGGGGAAGGCCAGTTATGTGAGGTCACCGGGAAGGCACAGTGGTTGTTGGCTCATGCCAACCTCATTCATAAGGTTTTACTTCTGTAGAAAATATTTCCATTTAGTAATGTGGTGACAATGATCTGGATAATGTACAGCACGTGTAAACAGTGTGAGCATGGAACAAGCTGAAGTGTGATGCAGGGACTATACATCCTCTTGCTTGGGTTTACAGACAGGTTAAACATTTTTGCATGCAGAGCTCCTTAGGGGATATTTTTTAAAGATCTGAATAAGTGTGATGCAGGTAAAATCAAACTATTACATTTAACCTCTTCAGTGCGTCCACAATTGGATTTTTTTTCCTCCAACAGTGTGATGGAGCTTCTCTCTTACATGACAGAGCTCTGTCATCTGTAGGTGATTGTCTAAATGAGTGTTCTCCAGTGGCTCCCGGACTGTGGCTGAGGGCGGTTAGAGTCAGTTCGCAGGCTGCGTCAGGGTGCCATGCCAAGGCTGAGGTCTCTATGCCAATGTCCCAACCCATGGGTCAGACTCCTCCTGGGTCCCTTGGTGTATGCTGCTGGATCCGCAGCTTCCACTAAGGTACTTTGGTCTGTGGGTGGATGCCAAATTATTGTGTTGCAGGGGTGGGGGGTTTCAAGCAGGGGAGTCATATTCAGCCATCTTGTTGATGTCACTCCTGAGAAGTACGTTAATGGAATGGACTGATATATAATAGTGGGATTACAGAAATTGTAAATTAAGTATGCTGAGCACTGGGTGTTACACGCAAACAAGAATCATAGAACACTACATGAAAAACTAATGGAGTACTGTATGGTGACTAACATAATAAAAAAAAAGTTAAAAAAAATTAAAAAATGAAATGTGCTGGTATCATTTAGGAGCTAATTCATGTGAAACACAGACAATGCTGGGGAAATTCAGGCTTAGAAAAAGTTATTGCACTTCAAATTTTGTAATCAAGTTTTAAATGTCTCCGGTGATTTTAAATTTCCATTTACTTACATTTTCTGATATTCTTTTTTAAAAAAGATTTTATTTATTTGAGAGAGAGAGAGAGAATGAGCAGGGGGGAGGGCAGAGTGAGAGGGAGAAGCAGACTCCCTGCTGAACAGGGAGCCGGACGAGGGGCTTGATAATAGGACCCTGAGATCAGGACCGAAGACAGATGCTTAACCGACTTAACCGCCCAGGCTCCCCCATTTTCTGATATTCTTAAATGGCTTTTAAGATATACTAAAAACACTTATACAGTAAATATGTATGATTTTTTAGGGGGGGAGGTCAACTCTAAAGCTATATTTTGTGAAAAAAGAATGACATAATTATCTATCTAGGTAATGGATAACTGATCATATCTTATTAGTTTTCTTTGTACTTTTCTGTGTTTTTCAGATTTCTAAAATAAGAAATGATAAATTATGAAGAATTCATTTCAGCAATGAGAGGAGTAGAAAACATAAGAGAAGGAAAGTACCTCAGGAGAAACCAGTGCCCAGCCAAGAAGTGGTGCCTGGAGGAGATGAGGCAGAACCAGATGGGGCAGTGAGAATCGAGTCATGTGTTCTCCCAACTCCACACCCCAAAGCCCTTCACTAACCCCTGCAGGACCTAGTAAAATCCTGGGTCTCCTGCCAGGTTCACACTCAAACATCCAGAGTTAACATCATGAAGTGGTTGGTTCTCCAGTTGCTGACACTCTACTGCCTGATGATCATGCCAGTGACAGGAAAGATGAAAGAAAGAGTTGAGGTTGTAACGCAGCGTCCAGTTTACAGTAGGTACTCTGATTTAGCTTCAAACTGAAGAGGGGGTAGAAAACAAGGAACCAGGGACTGGCATATGTGAAAGCATTGGTTCCTTTTTTAAGCCAGGATACCTGAGGAAAGCTGAATGTGCAGTTCTCAAGTTTGATGGTCTCCTGATGTTATGAGAAACAATGTTTTTATGTGTGTGGTGGGGACTGTGGTGGCTACAAGGTGTTTTGGTTGAGGAGGACCCGTAGCAGTGGAAAACTCCATAGGGTTCAAAGCCCACATGGAGGGTGCCTAGCTTGAGCCACTGGGAGTTTGTGTCCTCCATTTAGGGGCTCCAAGGATGAGCACAAAATTGGGAAAGGGTACTAATTATTTCTTGAAATATACCCTTTGTTTAGGGAATTGAGTATTTTAGAATATTGGGCATGGGGAGGAGAAATAAAATGGGTGCTTGACCAAGAGAAGTTTGGAATCACTAGGCCAAAAAAAATGAAATCAGCAGAATTGAGCATAGTGGCTCCATAACTGCTGGCAAAGGTTTCTGGGAGAACAGCTAGGTTTGGAAGGCTGTCTCAGCCAGACAGGGAAAAGTACAAGACAGTTCCTCCTCTTCTCTGGGACTCTGTTCTTCCCACCCTGTAAAATGAGAGCAGGAGGCCAGAGGATCTCTTGGGCCTCTTTGTTCTGAGAACTGGGTCTCAGGATTCAGGTCCTGTGATGTTCAATTCCATGGAGGTGGCTTCATGGTTGCTGGGTTTGCTAGGGAGTATAAGCTGGATTTTGACTCTAGGAATGGAAAGCCACCCAGATCCTTGGGCAGGCAGAAGAAGAGAAACCAATGGAGTGGGTGCTGGGGCCTTAGAGGGGCTGATAATAGTGAGAAAAACTCTTCTTGGAGTCACTGCTCATGTGTTCCTTCTCAGTTGTACCAAAACCGGAACTATTACACTGTGCGAATATGCCCAACTACCATGACTGCCAGAGAAAGTGCGAGTTTTACTCGGATTGTATTATTGGCTATGAATGCTGCTTGTCCATCTGTGGAAAAATCTGCATGAAAATCCCAGAACCTGGTAGGATCTAAGAATCACCCCTCTCTTGCCATTGGGTTCTCAAAGACTATGGAACCCCTAACCATGAGGGAACAGACAGAAGAAGACTATGCCTCCCCAGTCCCGGTACCCATTCCAACCTGAAACTCCCACCTCTTCCTCCAACCCAAACCCCCCATTGTCCACGTTCAGGCCTGCCTGATTAATCCAAACCTCAGGAGATCTGACATTTATGTCTCTTTGCTCACTGGACTTAAAACATCCTGAGAGAAGCCTTGTATAGGCATCTCCTAAACCTCAGAAATATCCCTGCCCCAGGGTTTGGGTGGATCTGTTACCCTCAAAGAAATGTGTTTCATCAGACTGTGTGGCCACTGAATACCTACCCTTTCTCTTTCCAGAGACCAGCACTAACAACAATAACCCCAGCAGCACAGTGGTTTCTACTGTTGTTCCTTTAACCACCAGTGAGATGTCGAGTATACCTAAAGGGCAACCAACTAATTCTACCTGATGCCCAGTGGTACCATCGTCTTGTCCCAGCTGGGAGGCAAGGGGAGGGAGGAGGTAGGGTCCCAGGGCAATGTCCCTCCTCCTTGCCAATCCTCTTCTCTGAACCATTATACTATCAGTCTCAATTCCTTGAAAAAATAAACTATGGCAGTAAACCAGAACCTCTGTTTCTTCTTCTGTAGTCCCAGTACCAATCACTCCCTCCACTTTTTCCCTAAGCCCCCAACCCCTGCCTCCAGTGGATTTCCCTGCCTTCTCACCATTCAGAAGATTGAACTCCTAGTCAAGATTCCTGGACTCTCTTTGTTCATTGACTACCATCTCTGGGGAAAACTGTTTATGTGTGGGATGTTCTTATGGCTACAGAAAACACCATCCCTTTGGGTTCCCGGACCTTCTCAGTGCAGCCTTTCTTTCATTATTTCAGGCCTGCGATTCTAGTAGGTTCCCACAAGCAGCCACCCTTTTAACTAATCCAGGGAAGTACAATCTTCCTTACAGGAGACAGCACCCATGGTCTAGAATTGAAAGGAAATGTCATTGACCTCTCCAAGCTCTCCTCTCAGACAATGTCTTTTTTGTTTTGTTTTTTTCAAGGAAGAAGTTTTCAATTACCATGAAATTGCTTGAGGCCTTGAGTAAGCTCTTTTTTTCTTTTCTTTTATTTAAAATCAATTAATTGACGTACGGTGTATTATTAGTTTCAGAGGTACAGCTTAGTGATTAGTCAATTGCATATAATACCCAGTGCTCAGACAATGCCTTATTTGTTGGCATTACGTACTCAATCACTTGGGATCTATAGGAATATTTCCAAATGTAAATAATCCTAGGAAGAATAGGCAACCTTTAGAAGGTTATAGAGAGCCCACATTGTGCTCAGGCTTGTGGTAAGGACCTCTCCTCATGAGTGGAGGTGTGATTATCTGTTGGTATATAGCAAAGGAAGGGTTAAGTCTTATGATCCAAACAAGCAGAAACCAGGATGAGGCATGGAAAGAAGGGATGATTGGGATATACAGTCAGTACCCTAAGGTATAAATACAGAGGGGTCATTATGCTCATCGTGGTGTCACGTTTCTTGGAAGAAGAGATGCTTAATCCTACCTTGAGGGATAGGGAAGAATTGGGGTAACTCGGAATGAAAGCTAGTTTTCCTCCATGACAGGATTAAATATAGACTGCGGGGAGAAGGAAGAGAACTTGAAGAAAAGGAAAGGTTGTTACCCTAGCCTCCTCCTGCCCCCAACACCAGCAGATGAAGTTGTGGATAAGGTTGGATTATGAATTTGGTATTAAGCTCTATGACCCTAGCATATTGTAACTTGCCAACTTTTGCTTTTTGGTCTATGTTGTTATACCCATAAAAACTGCAGAACACAAGTATTATTTGCCAAAATTAACAAAGGAAAACAAACAAGCATAGACTGGTGGCTGATCCTACCGAAGTCCCCTCAGGAGGTTGATGACAAATAGATATGTAGACCTCATTCTCTAAATGCCCCTGTATTTGAGTTTCGTGAAATACATATATGTCAGGGGCCAGAGATGTGCTTAAAATAGGGGGTCTAGTGGGAGTAAGGTTGGGGAGGGATGCTGTGCAGAAAGAGTGATAATTGAGATGGGCAAAGGAGGACAGGTCCATAGTGTTCTCCTGGATTAACAGTGGGTGACTGCCTTAGGACAAAACCAATGAACTATTTCCTGTTAAGCAATTAGCAAAAAGAAGCAGTTGAGAAAAACTCTGGAACCACCAGGCAGATAGGACACACTTAATCAGTAGGTGCATTAAGGAACACAGTGAACCTTTGCACTTGGGCGTCTCACTTCAAAGCCCACTCTGGAAGCAGAATTGGGAGGTGACCAGTATCCAAATGTGGAGCTGGGAGACCCCAAAGGATCTCATTTTGCTTTCTTGGAAGGATTGGTCACAAGTAAACTGGCCTGCCATTGCCAGAAGCATAATTGGCCAGCAGATAATTTTAACATGCTTTCCAGCAACTGATAGGCTAGGAAGACAAAACAAAACAATATACAACCAACCCAGTAAGGATCTAGAAGGTTTGAACAACACAAATGAAAAATGACTTACTTGTATCAAAACGAATTCAGAATTACTGGGAAATATACTGTCTTTACAAGAGCAAATGGAACATTTTTAAAAAAGGAAAACTGAGGCACAGGGTGCCTGTTTGGCTTAGTCCCTGGCTTGTGAGGATAAGCCCCACGTTGGGTGTAGAGATTACTTGAAACTAAAATCTTAGCAGAGGAATGAAAGAACAAAAGAAAGAATGGAAGAAAGAATGAAAGATAGAATGGAAGAAAGAATGAAAGAAAGAACAACAGAAAGAAAGAAAGAAAGAAAGAAAGAAAAGAAAGAAAGAAAGAAAGAGAGAGAGAGGACTGAGGTCAGTGAGGTTCTGTGCCGTGGCTGAGCCAACACCACATAGCTGGTAAGTGGGGGATGGATCCATGACGTGAACTCAGGTCCAACTCCAAGCACTGTTTTTGACCATTCCATGCCACTTCAGGAATAATCTTCACCTGATTTCATCTAATCCTCACAGTGATAGCAAAGCTGCCAGGTAGGTTGTATGGTTTCCATTTTCCAGATGAGGAAACTGAGGCTCCAAGATACAGCTACAGTGAAAAGTTACAAAGCCAGTCCGAAGAATCAGTGTCACTAGGTTTGGGGTCATAATTGTCATTACTGAACAGTCCAGGCACTGTTGTAAAATTCGGGGAGGATACAGGATTAGAATTCTGAAGACAGGGGCACCTGGGTGGCTCAGTCATTAAGCGTCTGCCTTCGGCTCAGGTCATGATCCCAGGGTCCTGGGATCGAGCCCCGCATCGGGCTCCCCGCTCCGCGGGAAGCCTGCTTCTCCCTCTCCCACTCCCCCTGCTTGTGTTCCCTTTCTCGCTGTGTCTCTCTCTGTCAAATAAATAAATAAAATCTTAAAAAAAAAAAAAAGAATTCTGGAGACAAAAATGAATAAATTGCTACAAATCTTACTCTTAGGCAGCCACGTAGTATGGTTTCAGGAGATCTGGAAAGTACTCTACCCCTTGCCCACTGTCTGAAGTTCCACCAATAACATAGGTACATTCCTGGGCATAACGATGTTCTCTGTCTCTCTCTCTCTTTCTGTCTCCCTTCCTTTCTGCCTCCATCATTCTCTTGCTGTTTTCAAAATGCATTTGGTCTCAGAGAGGTAACATGGCAAGGCATTATCAGTTCTTCACATCACTAAATTAAAAAGTACATAAGGACCAGGAAGAGACATGTGGAAATGGGGGTTGAATGAGTAGGAGAGGGTCATCATTTATGGGGTGCTCTGGGAGTATCAGAAGCTAGGCTTGGATAACACCAGAAGGAATCCAAGGAATCCTTTTGTTAACCGGTGGTCATCTGGGATTTTTTTGCTTCTGGGGCTCTAAGACCCTGTGGGCCCTGCCCAGGCCCTCCTGAAAAATCTCATGCCATCAGTTTCTTGTCATCAGTGGAACAAGGAAAAGGTGTTCCCTTGTGTCTGGGCTTGCCCTGGGAATGACAGTGGGCAAACCAGCCCTGCAACTGTTCCAGACAAATCCCTGTAATCATTCATATGTGACCTCTCATGTAGGAGCAAGACAGTGGACAAGTGTCTTGGTGGGACACCGTCCAGTACTGTGACAGAGTGTGGGGCCACTGGCAGGGTCCTGGGTCTGGGTCTGAAGGTCCTACCCTACTCTCCACGTGACCTCAGACAAACCCATTCACCACTGCACAATTTGGTTGGTTTCCTCATCTGTGAAGTGAGAGAAGTGGTGGGCTGTCTTCATGGTTCTCAGCACATGCTCTGTGTCTCTGTCTGGCTTGTGCCTAATCCCCATGCCTCTTCTCATGCCACACAGGCACCTTCCTCTCCATAGTTCCACCTTTTCCTGTAGGAATGTAGCTCCTGCTGCTTTTCTCTCTCTCTCTCTTTGGAGGAGAAGACTTCATTGCCAATCAAAAGAGTCAAATATGTGTTCAAAGAAGCTGCAGCCACCTCTCCTTAGGAGACCTTCCTGGGACTGAGGGTCAGGCAGGAGGCAAGGACTCCTGTTTTATGAGGTCACTTCCTCTGTGGCTTCAAAGAACTAGCCCTATGCACCCACCCTGGACCCCTCAAAACCTTCCCTCAACTGTTCTCTCCAAATTATTTCCTTAGCTTTGCCTGATATGTGCCTTTTCCAAGTTTTTTTTTTTTAAAATAGAGAGAGAGAAAGGGGCGCCTGGGTGGCTCAGATGGTTAAGCGTCTGCCTTCGACTCAGGTCATGATCCCAGGGATCTGGGATTGAGTCCTGCATCAGGCTCCCTGCTGGGCGGGGAGCCTGCTTCTCCCTCTCCCTCTGCCTCTCTCTGACTCTCATGAATAAATAAATAAAACATTTAAAAAAAAATAGAGAGAGAGAAAGAATGAGAGACGGGAAAGAGGGGAAAGAAAATCTTAAGCAGAATCCATGCCCAGTTAAGAGCCTGATAAGAGGCACAATGTCACGACCCTAACTGAGATCATGACCTAAACCGAAATCAAGAGTCTGATGCTTAACTGACCAAACCAACCAGGCATCCCTCCAAGTTTAAATTTTTAAAACAAATCGATCACTAGGCAAGAGCCTGAGGGCAGAGGACAGTGAGGAGGCGGTTGCACAAGTGGAGGAGAGAGTTGGGATGACGCTGGGGGCTGACCCGCAAGTGGTGGCCAAGAGGGGAAGCCATGGGGCTTGGAGAGAGATTGGGAGGTAGAACTGGCCCAAGTCCATGACTGACAGGATGCTAGGGTAAAGGAGAGGGAAGAGTGAATCTCAGGGTTCTCAAGACAGCCTGGGGGCCTGTTGATGCCAAATACAAAGATGGGAGCAGAGAGACGGAGGTACTGCTGAGGAATAGGGAGAAGCTAATTCTGATTTATACATGTGGGCTTACAGGTCTCTTGAGATGCCCAGACATATGTTCCCCAGGTGGTTGGATACGTGCCTTAGCTTGGAAGTGAGAATAGGTCTGGAGGGAGGCATGGG